AAATGCGTCTATCCGATTTGCTGTTAATGTTATTAATAAAAATATTTTCAAATACTAAACAAACTCTACTTATTTATTTCTTTTTAATGTATGTTAATTATTCAATTGATACAAATAAATCATTCAAGAATCTGAATGATGAAGGAGTAAAATATTTTTATTACGAAGTTCAACACCCACCACTTGCAGAAATTTTACGCAAACTCTGCCCTGAACGCTTCAACGGGGGCCTACGGACAGGGATTGTTCCAGACCCACGTGCCAGTGGTCGACCACAGCTACTTCTACAGCAGCAACCACAACTACGACAACAGCCACAACATCGTGAGCTGCAATGTTCCAGATGACAGCAGTTACCACCCAAACGATCATATCATCAAAAGCGAAAATTTTGCTTCACCGATTATAGTTAACGACGACATTATCAGTCGCAAGAATGCAAGACACAAAATGGTAACATCGCCGAGTGACGTCACAAGAGGCGACTTCAACAGCCTGCGGATCAGCCACAAAGACCGACAACTAGACGGTTCAAGTCGGTTTTTCAGTTACAACAATATCAACTCGACCACTGACGACGACGACCTCCTAAACACTGGCGTCACGCACGATTCCTCTTTCCAATCTTTCGACAAATCAACGAAACAGCTAACAAAATCCTGCTACCACCAATATTGCCAGCAGCAGCATTCCCATCGCCACCAGCAGCCGCAACAGCAGCAGCTGTTGTTACGTCATCACAATAGCTCCCACACTCTTGTTTGATTCCCGTGTTTCTTGTTATTATTAATATCCTCATCTTTGCATTATTAATGTCATTGTTTCCGCTTCGTTCATATCACTGTTGTTGCATTTTGATGTCATTATCATCATTATCATTATATTCTGTTGCATTACCGATGTTGTTGTTGATAATGTTGTTAGTGTTGTTGTTTTCTCTATTGTTGTTGCTGCGGAATTTAAAAGCCGGTGTCATTCTTTTGAATTATTGTTGTTGACCGTGTTGTTGTTTAGATCGTCTACAATGTTTTTGTTAATAATGTTGTTGATGTTGTAGTTGTTGATGATGATGTTGTTGTTGTAGTAGTTGTTGTTGATGATGTTGTTGATGTCAGAGCTGTTTCTTTGCTTTCATTGATGTTGTTGAAGAAACTTTTGAACACTTGGCATTTTTAAACCTCCTGTTGTTCGTACAGTATGTCACTTTGTTTATAGCACTGCCACGAATTAACATCAATTTAGTAGTATCAATTACTTGATTAGCGGCATTTAACGCTAATTAATTACTATCAATTAATATTATTCTTCTAGAGATTGTAATAACAGCTTATGCTGATGAAATAAACAATTATAAGTGATAACATTAGAAAGATAAATCAACTGTAATGTTTGGCAGTTAAAATAAGCTGCATGGTTCAGCACATGCAACGTAGTTTTACTGCTAAAACTCATCATGACATGGCCAGTTATTTTATTTCGAGTCCAGTATAAATTGTTTCAAATTATAAAAAGATCACGTTATGTGACTAATATGAACAAAAAATACATAATTTTTCACTGTTGAAACATTTTAAATATGTTTTATTTATTTTCTGTGTATGTTTGCGTGTTACGATTTGAATCTGTAACATTAAAAACGTAAATTTTCAACTTTAAAAACTTACATTTGTAACACTTTTTGCTGACGCGTTATCAAAATTTTCTTACCGATAAAGCATTTGACTTGTTTATCTCATAACGAAGAATGTTTTATATGAATATTGTATGCACACATGTCTTGATCCGCAGCCAGCAACCATGGAATTTTAGATTGAAATTGTCCCATAGTATCAATCCCGTTATAAGCTTCACTTAAAGATGGAAAAGTAACCTCGCTTTTATTTTCAATTTATTTTATATCTTCTTGGTCTATGAATTCGTTCATTTAAAAAAAAAGAAAAAAAGACTGAACCTAAAATTAAGTATTTACTCTAAACAAACAAGGAATGAACAAAGTAGAGTAGAGCCATGGTATATATGAGCATCTGGGCACCACCACAACATACCAATTTGAACACCGAAGATGGTATAGGAATACCGAAAGAAGCTTTTCTGTTCTATCATGCATAAAATGAACACAAAATTTGGTTTTGAACTAAAGAAACTTGAAAATGATTCATCATTAACCGTTAGAAAAATCGAAAAGTTAAATTCGAAGTTAACTAAAGTCGAACATGCTGTAATTATCATCAATAAGTGCATTTCTGACAGTCTTAATCTACATATATATATATATATATATATATATATATATATATATATATACATACATACATATATATATCTATATATACATACATATATACATATACATATATATATATATATATACATATATACAAATTTTTTAAAGATAACTTCACCACTAATACCACGAAAGTCCATTTCATTTACTAAATCCCAGTGAAACTGAAGATTCAAAACGGAATTGAGCCGATTGCCCTGTGTATGATGGGTTGGTTTGACTGACCCGTCTTCACAAACATTCTTCAATTGCATAGAGGTTAATACTCTCAAGCCTTAGGTCATTTTTTTAAAAAAACTATACGGTCCTTAGTTCTGGAGAATTCTTTTCCATGAATAATTAGCGAATGTTCAAAAGAGATTAAAGTTAACATTTCAGCAGATACGGCTCTCAGGTTTTCGTCAAACTTGATGCTAGTGTTGATTTTTATTAAGACAATGTCATTTTTTGTACTTGTTGGAGGTATTTTTTACGTGCATAATTAACTTTTCGATGGCGTAAAATCAGACTGTTGGGTCTGTTCTGCCAGTTATCTTCTTGTAGAAACAAGCAGTGATCTGGTAACTTGTGAAATATCTGGAGTATCGGATTGATAGACGTAAATGCATGAATACTGTTGGAGATGATGAATTATAACAAATTATTTTTGGCATCCTAAGTTTTTAACATAAAAAATTCTTATCAAGAACGTGATTTTCTGACCCCCCCCCCCACCTTCTTTAAATATGCCTTTTAAAAAGTTTATATAATATACAGTGCAAATATACAATATCACAGATGATTATTGAAAATTCAAATCAGTTGCAGCCGATAGCGTTAAATCTGAAGAAAAAAAACTTACTGATCACACATAAAATTTTATAACCGTCTTTTAATATAAATATGTTAAGAAAATTTTCTTGACTACCTTTTCCTCCCTTGTTGCCGAATGTCACAAATTTATTGATTACCTCCTCACTCGAAGCACGACACCAATTAGAGACATCCTTTTGACAATTTAATAAAATGAAGAAAATTGCAATGCTGCAAAATCAATTTTTCAGACAAATAGAAAATAAACATCTAATTTTTTTTAACAGGTTTATTCATGAAGAAATAAAACATGAATAGGATACCCTAAAAAAGCATATCTTCTTTTCTAATGGGTACACAGCGATCAAACAAAACATCGTAACAGAAAAAGAAAATTTCTCATAGGTTCAATGAAATTTGAAATTTTCCTTCAGTAAATAAAATTATTTAATTGACGAGAATTCAATTGATTGTCTCAACAATTTTGTTCTATAGACCAAAAAAAATTGGAATTGGGCCTACAACTAACATCACTCGTCAGTGTTACCTAACCGGAACAACAAGTCTGCAATAAATTTTTTAAATGAAAAAATTTAAAATTATACCTTTAAGAAACGTGCTGGTGTATTTTAATAAAGAATCGTAAGTAAAAATTGTGACTGTTTATAATTATTATTTCTAAACGCCATTGTTTTTGAAGTGCACTTCATCTGATCAGATAAATTGTTGAGGATCATTTTTTTTATCTTAAAATTTAAATTCAATGAGATTTAGTGCGTCCAAAGAAATATAAATATTTGTTTTGAATCAAAAATGTTTTATTCTAAATTAGCACAATCGTTTGCATGAACTCAATAAATTATATTGAGAATGGATCATCAATGATATTGTTATATACCGGTAATTGGACCTACTCGAGACAAATCGATAACTTTTACTTTGTGTGCTTTATTTTAATATAGTATCACATGCTACGGTTTTAAATGTTGGCTTGTTTATATCACATTATCACTATTATCTTACTATTTATTACTATAATATATTATTAATTATAAATTAATTATAATTATTAATATAATATATATAATATTACTATTACTACTATTTATATTAATAGTAAAACTATTAAAAAATAAGTTAATCACCAGACTGTAATATTTATTGATTATCATTTTTTAAACTCAATTCTGTTTGAAACATTAAACGCCAAAACTAAAGAATGGTCTGAGATGAGCATTTATTTTAAAAAGAAGCGGATGGTTAATTTAAAAGCATTACAATTTGTAACTTGTGAGTTCAAAATTAATGCAACAAATGTTGTTTAGTTAGTTGTGGTCAAGTTTATAATTTAATATTCTTGAGAATCCAATCTTCGAAATAGTTGACTCTGGCATACACTCCTGGATATCCGCTGGCACAACCTTTGCCCCACGAAACAATGCCAATCAGCCTGAATGTTCCGTCTTTTTCTTTTCTGACCAGAGGACCGCCAGAATCATTCTGAATTATTTATTTAATTAATTCATATTTTACAAAAAAAACTAAATTTTTTTGATTGATTGGAAATAAAAACAGAACTAGAATGCTATTTTGAAAACTCGATTTATCTCCTCTTAGAGACAAATACTGATGGCAAATAAAGTCTTCAACATATAACAGGCAATAATATTTTTAATGAAAAAGATATAAGTTTGCTATTCAAATGTACAAACTAAAAAAAACCCATTAACCTGGCACGAGTCCCTCTCGGCACTGTTACGATTATCGGAGGCACACAACATATCATCAGTTATTTTAGAAAGAGGCCCGTAAACCTTTGAGCAGTAGGCGTTGGTGGTTGTGTTAACCGTTGTGTATCTCAAACCGTCGACTTTCGCACTGCTTCCTGTCAATTTTAATTTAAAATAAATATTTAACTTCCGCAAAGAGCACAGAAAATGTTACATCAACCTGAAGCCAAGTTTCCCCACCCAGAAACGGCAGATTTAACGTGGTCGTACAGGTCCTTGGGTTCAGGAGCACAAACTGTGTTGACGTCTGCGCTGAATTTGACGCTGCCTTTAACTTTTATAAGGGCGATGTCGTATGGAAATTTCCGAGGATTATATTCCTCGTGGATGACGAGCTTTTCAATTTGAAAAATTTGAACGGAAGGATGGTCCAAACCAGTGAGTTTTTTGTGGAGTCCGGCAACAATTCTCAAATTAGCTGGGTTTCTAAGAGAATAATTTTAATTGAGGAATGTTTGATGGGTCACTAAATTGATGGTGGCTTGGATTTTGTAACAAATTTAAAATTTTAGGTTAGAAATTTTGTTTAAATAGGATTCATGCGAATGTTATTGAAAAAATTAAGACTTGGTGGATGACTTACTCTCCATCGACGCAGTGGGCAGCCGTGATGATCCACTGATCGTTCATGATGCTCCCCCCACACATGTGGAACCCTGATGCAGATTGCAGACTTATCTGAAAATTATTGTTCATAAAAAAATCAACAGGATTTTGTACCAAAAAACATTGAGGACTAAGAGAATTCCATGATTGTTTTTTCCTACAGTTCAATATTTTCATGGTTTTCTTCAATACAATTTTACAGATTATTTTTAAAAATATTGTATACAAGCTTTCATATATTTTTTGTTTTAACAGCAACGACAAACACTAAACACTGGTCAATCACATCCGACTGGGAACGTTCTTTTTGGACTCATTCGAAATCACTTTTAAGCTAAACCGCGGGAAAATTGTTTTGTGGTTTAGTTAAACATCTGAGAATCTACGCACACAGTACGCGTTTTGAAAATATGATTGAGAATTTTTGTTGGAATTGTTACCTGCCATGGAAACTCATTCGGTCTGGCTTCGATGCCTCCAACGATGGATGGTGATGGTAGGAAGTAGTCCCCTGCGTCGGGGTACTTGCTCTTTCCACAAGTTCCTTTTGCTGGGTTTTCATTTATTTGCAATTTAATAAAAAAAAACAAAAAAACTTGAAACAATCTTACTAACAATCCCAAACTGGAGGTTCAGCTGTTAGGAAGATAAAATTTGAATTTCAAAATTTGAATTTCAACTATTAAATTTTAATAAATTCATTTATGAACATTCGATTTTTTGTGAAAGTTTAAAATAATTTACCAAATGTTGTGGCTGTTAAACAGAGGGCAAACACAAACAATCTGTTCATCTTGAGGTCCTAAAGATGAAAAAACTTTTCATTAAGTGAGTCAAACCGCTAAAGTTTGTCAAGACACAACAAATAATTATTAAATTTTATAAAATATTTTTATTTCACTTCAATAAACTTACTTTTTATTTTAACTTTATTGAAGCATCAAACTAGAATTGAAATGTTAAATATGCCAGAGGAACAACGGCTTATATAACGTTGTTTATCTGATGAAATTTCAATTTCCACTTCATATTCCGACCAATTTCTGGGATGTTAATCAGTTATGAAAGTATGTCTGTACGACAATACTTTGATTATTTCGAATCTCTATTGTTTCAAATCGCCATTGTGTTACAAATTTGTTGTTATAGAGACTCAATGTATTGAAATATCATTGTTTTGAATAGTCGTCGTCTTAAAATGTCATTGTTTGATGAAGTGATTGTTGCATTAGTTGAAAATGTTTCAACGAGCCAGTGTTTAGTACTTGAGTTATTATGATTGTTTGAAACTTCGTCGTTGTAAGAGAGGCTTGCTCAATAAATTATTATTTAAATTGAAAAAAAAAATTTAGTATAATTTTAGTATTTTTTAGTATAAAAAATGTTTTGACAGAATAGTTTGAAAATATAATTTGTAAATTATCATGATTTTTTTAATAATGCAACAAAAAAAGGTTTCAAAAATATTTAAATTTTAAAATTTCATAATAGATTTTCAACCCATTGCGCCAATATTTTTCAAAACAGCGATAATATTTCATTTCTTGAACGTACCGTAGGAACGCTAGTTTATTGACAAGGTTTGAAAAAGAGATCGGATCGGCTCAGTTATTAGATAAAACTGAAGCCACTCACCAACATGCAAATGATAAGGAAATGATTGATTAATGATCCCCATTGTTCTGAATGTCAAGTTTCACACATTACCACTAAATTGAAAATGTTAAACAGTTTTCAAAATATTTTGACATGTACTTCATGCAACAGATAAAACATTTTTTACTACTTTACTATAATTATTATTTCACCCATACACGTTAGATTTCAAATCAGGTGCACATTTTTTTAAAATATTTTTTTTTAGAAAATTCATTTGTCCAACTTTAAATTGAAGTTACAGTCTCGGTGGTGCATTCGCAAATCAATTTATGTTTGAGTATCTATGTTGAGATTTTTGTGTTGAATCTTGGTTTTTTCTCTCAATTAGCTCTGTTTTAAGCCATTTTATTTATAAAAAATATATTTTTTGTTGCTTGAAAAGAGTGATTATAACTAGAAATTGAAATTTTGCCGAAAATCTAGTGTTTTCCCATTTGAAAGCAACACAATGAATATTGTGTATTTAAGTAACATCATGAAAAGACAAAAAAACATCACCGGTTTCAACAATTTTTATGTTTACGAATAGCATTATTATTTTACTTCTTTTACAATTATTGATTACATTCGAAATTTATATAATTCAGTGTGTAGTCAGTAATCAAAATTTTTATACAGTCTGGTTAAGCTGAAGTTGAATTTATGGTTTCAATTTCAAATAACTTATGTCACCAATCGTCTCATTCCAGCTGTTTATCGCCCTGCTGGTAAAAAACATTGCATGATTGGACTTTTTGTCTCTTTTGTCCAATACAGGTTAGTATCCTATGAGAGCCTGTACTTGTGATTTAGTAATATAATTCTATTTACCACATGAAAAAATCAGTTAAATTGTTTCTTCTTCCCTGGTATCTAAGTTGTTATGTTGTAACAGATCTCTTCTGCACCTTCTTGTTTAGAGTTAGATATCCATATTCTCTCAATTTATCTGTGTTGATGTCTTTCAAGTTTTTTGATCATCTGTGCTGCTTTCCGCTGTACCTTATCAAGAATGTCTCTGTCCTTTTGCAGACGTGGACTAAAAACCTGAAAACAGAATTTAAGATGGGGATAAACGAAGGTTTTATACAAATTTATTATGATTGACTTTTCACTGCTGACTATTGTTACGTTAGAAAACCCAAGTATTTTATTTGCTTTGGCTGCTGCCACAAGACATTGTATTGATGTTTTTGTGTTTCTGTGAATGATGACTCCAAAGTCACTTTTACCTTTTGTTGATCGTATTTTTTGTTTGAACTTCGAAACCAAATTTTTCTTCGATCTACACAAATTTAATTGTATTCTTTTATCTAGTAATGACTAAGTCAAGTATAATTTTTTTTTTCTTGATGGCTCTAATACATTCTGAGTGG